GCCTGGTTAACTAGTTTACTAATTACTAGCCGGTCCTAAGCCCGGGTAAAGAGGGAAGGTTGGGCATAGGGCTAGCAACCCTACCCCGTAAAACAAATCTAACCGCTAAAGAAACTTCAAAGCACAAACAAAATATAAAAAATGAAAACAAACTTATTCCCCGCTGGAATCGGAGAGGCGAAATGACGCCAGTTGGTGAAAGCCTTCGGGAAGCCAATTGGCCAGGCCGATGTGTCTTCTCTCGATGAAAGCGAAAGTAAACGTGGGGACATGGAATGTCCGCACCATGTTTGAACCCAGTAAGGCAGCCCAGATTGCAAAGGAGATGAGAAGGTATCACATCGAAGTGCTTGGGATTTGCGAAAGCAGATGGAATGGGAGTGGACTCTCCAAACTGTCAACCGGAGAATCAATAATCTACTCCGGTCACCCAGACGCCAAATACGAGCACACTGAGTTATGGAGTGGCTATCATGATGTCCTCAAGAGCATCGAAGGCTCTCATGCAGTGGGAACCAATCTCCTCCAGGATCATGACAGCAAGATTCAACTCAAAAGGAAGAAAGGTCACAATCATACAATGTTATGCACCTACAAATAATGCAGAGCAAGAGAAAAAGGAGGATTTCTACAGACAACTTCAATCAACACTGGACAAGACGTCAGTTGGCGATATCAAAATTCTGATGGGCGACATGAATGCCAAACTGGGAGGGGACAACACGGGAAGAGAACTAACCATGGGTCGAGAGGCGCTAGGTGAAATGAATGAGAATGGAGAATTGTTTGCAGAATTCCGCGCATTCAACGATTTGGTGATTGGAGGCAGTGTGTTCAGGCACAAAGATATCCACAAAGCGAGCGACATGGATTTCACCAGATGGACACACTAAAAATCAAATCGACTTTATCTCAATCTCAAGAAAATGGAGACGCAGTCTACTTAACACAAGGTCAAGAAGAGGAGCAGATGTAGGTTCACACCACTCACTGTCTAGTGCAAGGAACCTTCCAAATCAAGTTAAAAGCCTTCAAGGAAGCTGGTGATAGACCTCAATTCAAGTACAACACTCGGAAACTGAAGGATGAAACTACAAAGGAGATCTTCAAGGTAGCCATCAAGACAAAATGGGAGATATCGAGGAACATGCCTGAAGAAACCTGTGTGGAAGAACACTGGAAGTCTTTGAAAGCTATGTGGAAATAAACCTGCACAACAGTATTAGGAAGGAAGAAGAAAGAAGACAAGGAATGGATCTCGACGGATACCTGGAAGCTGATAGAGGAGCGGAGGATGGTGAAGCAGAAGATAAACCAGTGCAAGGATGCTCAACGACAAGAGGAACTGAGCACAATGTACAAAACACTGAACAAAGAAGTAAAGAAGAGTGCACGCAAAGACAAAAGACACTTCTACGAAACACTGGCAAGTGAAGCAGAACAGGCTACAAGTAAGAGAGACCTGACGACATTGTATCAAATAACCAGGTTGTTATCAGGGAAGAGACCAACACAGATGAAACCAATAAAAGATGAAGAAGGAAATTTAATTACTAAAGAACAGAAACAGAGGAAACGATGGGCCGACCACTTCAAGAAGCTCTTGAATCGACCACCACACCACATGCACTTCGTCCAGAAATACCACCTGCAGCCGCTGAATTACAAGTGAATATTAATCCCCCAACGAAAATGGAAGTCCTGAACGCCATAAAGCTACTGGAATGCGGGAAAGCAGCAGGACCAGATGGAATACCGCCAGAAGCACTGAGAACAGATGCAGAGACAACAGCGGACATGCTCACACCACTATTGCAGAAGGCAGGCTTCAGGAAGTACAAATCATGTGCAGACCAAATTGCAACGCTTCGCATCATCATAGAACAGAGTATAGAATGGCAATCAGCTCTCTACCTCAACTTCATCGACTTTGAGAAGGCCTTTGACAGCGTCGACCGAGAAGTAATTTGGAAACTGCTCCAATACTACGGAGTACCTCAAACCTTTATCCACATCATTCAACAACTATATGAAGATGCCACATGCCAAGTAATTCACAATGGGAAGCTCAGTGATACTTTTGAAGTGAAGACAGGAGTGAAACAAGGTTGCCTACTATCCCCCATGATATTCCTGATTGTGGTGGACTGGATCATGCAGCAAACAGTGGGGAGCGAGAAGAGGGGGATACGCTGGACGACGGAAAAGAACCTAGAAGACTTGGATTTCGCCGATGTCACATAAACTTGAAGATCTGCAGGCAAAAACTAACAAGTTGACAGAAGAAGCCGGGCAGCGAAGACGGGACTTCAGGTGAATATAGAGAAGACAGAGGTGATGAAGATACCGCACCATCACCACCACCACCACCATCAACAACAAACTCCAATCACCGTCAACGGGAGAAACTTAAAGGAAGTAACCTCCTTCACTTATCTAGGAAGCACTGTTTCAACTACAGGCGGGACGGACGAGGATGTCAAAGTCAGAATCGGAAAAGCAAGACAGGCGTTCATTAGCCTGAAACCAGTGTGGAGATCTTCTGCACTCCACTCAGCATGCGGAACAAGATACGGATTTTCAACACCAACTTCAGTCAAGTCAGTGCTCCTGTATGGTTCAGAGACTTGGCGCGTCACGAAAGGGATTTCCAATAAACTACAGACATTCATCAACAACTGCTTACGCCGGCTCGCTACTGAAGATCAGATGGCCAGAAAGAATAAGCAACAAGGAACTCTGGGAACGAACCAACCAAGAACCTATCACGCAACAAATATGCAGGAGGAAGTGGAGATGGATTGGCCATGCACTGGGAAGGCCGACTGAGGACATCACACGCCAGGCCCTCGAGTGGAATCCCCATGGGAAGCGACGAGTTGGACGTCGGTGTCGAGGGTGACATGGAGGAGGTCGTGCGAGGAGGAAATGAGAGGTTGTGGGCTGTCGTGGGACCAGGTCCAAAAGATCTCAGAGAACAGAGGTGAACTGTGGTTTATCACCTTCTTTGAAGGCTCTCAACTCTATTTTGAAAGTAGATTGTTTGCACCAGATAGTGAGTGGTGCGAACCAACATCTGCTCCCCTCTTTGATCTGATCTTGTGTCCACTAGGCTGCATCTCCACTTTCTTCAGAATGAGATGAAGTCGATCTGATTTTAAGTGTATTGTGACCATCTGGTGAAATCCACGTCGCTTTGTGAATATCCTTGTGTTTGTACACAGTGCGTCCAATCAACAAGTCATTAAATGCGCAGAAGTCTGCAAACAGTTCTCCATTCTCCTTCATTTCACTGAGTGCTTCTCGATCCATGATTAGTTCTCTTCCTATGTTGTCCATTCCCACTTTGGCATTCATGTCACCCCACCCATTAGAATTTCGATGTCGCCAACTCGAGTCTTGTTCAGTGCTGACTGCAGTTGTCTGTAGAATTCCTCCTTCTTCTCTTGATCCGTATTATTCGTGTATGCATAGCATAGCGTAGCATTGTATGATTATGACTTTCCTTCCTTTTGAGTTGAACCTTGCTGTCATGATCCTGGAGGAGATTGGTTTCCACTTCATGAGAGTCTTCGATGCTGTAGGGGACATCATGATAGCTACTCCGAAACTCAGTGTGCTCGTGGTTGTCATCTGGGTAACAATATCGGAGTAGATTATTGACACTTCAGTTGACAGTTGGGAGAGTCCCAAAAGGAATGATATGAAGACTAAATATTAGGATTGCAGAATAGCATACATTACAGTTACCAATAAACATACATCAAGAAAAACTGCAAGCCAATTTTAAAACGTCTATTTTACATTAATTACTAGAACAGATAGACCACTCATACATGCCAAAAATTGTCACAATTTTACGAATTCGTACAAGTATCAGAATAAGTACTACTTACGGCATCGAAACACGGAGAAATAATCCTGAAACTGTAAACTTAGCAATTCATTATGATAGACAGTATTACTAGCAGCTGCTTGACTGATAGGCTGAACTCGTCTGAGAACAGATAGGTAAGAAGTGGTAACTCCACAGTCAGTTACAATGATGTTAGTCATTAAGATGATACTTAAAACTTCTCAATCAGTCAACAGCATTATGAAACCCGGCAATACGACGTACAGGTTTATGTTGCCAGGTCTTAGGTTTAGTGATATATGGAGAAGAAACTTAACGCTCTTCTGATAGAAGGATATTGATTAGCGTACTCATAGCTAAATGGTAGTAAGGACGGAGTAGTCTGCCGAGATAAGACAATCTTACATAGCTTAACCAGCAATCGATCAGTGATTTCACTAGATTACGATTGAGAACAGAAGACGACTGAACAACTTATATGTCAATAAACTAACAGTTATGCACTACTCACAACTGACAAGTGATAAAAGTTGTAAGCAAAATCCAATCAACGACCAAGTCATACGCTAGACTCGGTAGATTATTCATATGGTTTGAACCTATTACAATCCATATTTTATCGCACCTTTGATGATGATTCTTCTTACGTCGAAATCCAACTGTAAAAATTATCATAATTAACAATAACACTAGCTAATGTTCCATTGTTTAGTTTCTGTCAGCAACTAAAAAGTACCGAGTGTCAAGTTCATAAGGTCTATACAATATATAAAGTAAAATTTACTCTCTCATAGTCAAGTAAATAACTGAAAAACAACACGACAAGTTAAATAAAACGAATAAAAAAAGAAGGAATGTAACAAACGAAAACAAAAAAGTTAAAAACATCTGAATACAAATATGGTATAGAAGTCATTCATTCATCCATCCCACAAAAGAAAATAATACAAATATCTATCAAGTACTATAAAACAGAAAAGTTGAAGATCAGAGAAGAATGTTGGGAAAAAATCAAATCGTTTGAAGCAAATAGATATGTATGTGTTACATTCATAGTATAACCATCCACTATATATATATATATATATATATATATATATATATATATATATATATATATATATATATATATGAGGACAACAGTTTAAATAAAAGACAAAGTTCCATTTGCACAAATAACACTCTTTGTAGGCAGAGGCCAATTATCAGGGAGATTACCGCCAGAACTAGTCACTAGCGTCGAATAACTGGATTGATTTCGGTTGGGTAATAGAGCAAAGCAATCTTCAAACATGAATCTTTCAAATTCTTTAACAAGAAAACGATTAGTTTCTTCTAGATGATTACGATTACTAGTAGATAGTAAGTTTTGATTAGAGATTTGTGCACATACTGCACGGTTCAGTTCAGTATTAAAAATTGGCAAACCTAGACGTAATGTAATAAAATAAATTGGTTTGTGTTCATTTATCATTGTGAGCAATTCGTTTTCGTCCAAAACAACCTTTCCAAAGGAATTGCATCCATTCTCTTCTAGTAGTTCAGTTTGCGGAGATGAATCTATAGCGTCTGATGAGAGGTGTTGTTGGTCTTCTGTTAGGGTACCAGTATTTCGAACACATTCCCACTCCTTTATATGAGCCAATACTATGATGTATCCCGAAACGTAAGACAAATTAATGACTCTCATGATATTGATAAGAAATTCTGGTAAATGACTGGTTGAATTATGCAGAAATTCCTCGGATATGGGTAAAGGTATGTATCTTTGAGTTAAAGTTTTTTCCACCTCATAATTTTCGATAGCCTTTTCAAAAGACAGAAGAAAAAAATTCATAAAACTGATTAAAAGCCATTTGGAAGCTCCAACGAGGTTTCTACAACAAGTTATATAGCACAACAACATTCGGTTACTCTGATTACAAATAAAAATCTAAATACACCAGACAAATGAAAAACAATCAACGAAAAACCGTTTTAAACCTGACCTCTGTACAGCGCAACCTACAAAACGTATGCAGCTAAGTTAAGTAGACTGCAAACTCCTCTTGTAATCAAGCTGAAAGCTATAGACTCATGTCTCGTTAATTAGTATCGATTTAACTTTTATATATATATATATATATATATATATATATATATATATATATATATATATAACAAACCTCACCTGGTTAACTAGTTCACTAGTTACTAGCCGATCCTGAGCCCCGTTAAAAAGGGAAAGTTGGGCGTAGGTCTAGAAACCCTACCCCGGGAAGCCAATTGGCCAATATGTCTTCTCTCGATGAAAGCGAAAGTAAGAATGGGGACATGGAATGTTCGCACAATCAATCATGGATGTTCAAAAACAGGGAGATAAAAGCACAGAACCTCATATGAGAGTGTGTCAGTTGACGTTGTCATATCTTATAATCATGCAAAAACAAATACCAGAGAGAATCGAAAGTTATACGATAAATAAGGAAAAGAAGTACGACTCGGAGTAAAAAACGAGCATGAAGTAACAGGGCATCGGAGACTTTGAAGAGCGACAGGGGATATATTTGACCTATCGAGATCTACTTTGGGTGGTGTCACTCAACATATGGAACCACTGATTTCTAGCACCGTATGAACCAAGGCCAATAGAGCTACGCAACCCTGCATAGCCAGACCACAATCAGAAATTCAATGTGTCGGTTTCATCTCATGGTCTGGTAACCTTTACGTTTCTTCAAGCCCAATCCTGCTCAAGCTAGCATCGGTACTCAGATGTCTGTTTAGTATGTGCATGACAAGCGTCTTTTCAGTCGGTGGAAATCCATAAGCTTATATATTTAGAATCGGTACTTTAAAAAAAAGTCTGTATCACTACCAAGGTGAAACCATCTGTAATTGACATAGAATGATGTAATTGAAATGATCTTAGACTAAAACAACAAGGTGGCACTTATTAGCCTAACCGGAAATTTATATGAAATATCAAAATATTTTGGTGAGTGGAACTGCAGGAAACTTCTACTCACTGCTTTCACGTGGCGGAGGTACTTCCACATAGGTGAAAGAATGAGAGTACTGTACGATGTGTACTCTGCTGTAAAAGGTCGGGTATGCAATGCGTTGGTGCGAGCAGTTCTACCAGACGCCTGTGAAATCTGGCATCCCCAAGCTGAAGATGTTCAGTAAATTTCTGTTTCCGCTGTCAGCACAGGATTGCTTGCGCATCCACTGAAAACACCATATAAGTAATTCTGATGTAAGGCGGTGTGCTTAGGCTTGATGGAAATCTTTATTCATTGAGTTTGATCATACTGAAGCACTAACTCCAGTAGATTGGATTTGCACGTGTTACGCATATCGTCCTAGAGGTTCCCACATCACTAACTGTTCGCTTACATTGAGATTTGGTTGGAAAAAGCGTCTAAGTGGTCACCATATAACGTGGTACCATGACATAAGAGTTGTGTAGAATTAACATCTGCAGATGCCTGACAACTCCCTGAATGGGGTATGCAACTATGCAACTCAGTGGTTTTAGACGATTGCAGATATAGTTAAGGTGGGAAACCAATGGCGATCATGTCGCGGTTTCCTTGTTTTGTCTAATGGTTATAGGAGTGACTCTTTCTTAGGATTCATAATAAAGACCGCTTCTTCAATAATCTATTTTTATTTCCATACTTCCTCCCATTCTCTGAATCTTCATGATTTTGCTTAACTACTTCACATAGCATATCTCCGACCGATAGCCACTACCTTGACATGGTGGTCGGGCTTGTAGATTACACTGACCCAACGAGCTTTGCTGGTAAGACGCTTCTTCCCTCCATGTCTTACCATGACAGAAAAGTCTGTTGGTAAGACAAAAAGTAGCTACCGTCGTAGTGTAAATTACTACACCATGATGGGGTCTGAGGGCGAAGTTGTGCTGCTGCTAGCTGGATGGGGTGTGATTGCATCAGCCCAAATGGGGTGGTTGCTGACGAAATCTCAGCTCGGATATGGAACGCCCATTTCGCATTTACCAACTGGCATTATCTGTGGTGGCGATCGGCGAGTTATTCATCTGTCTATCAAAGGACGATTATACTGCGCTGAATTCCATTCTGTCCTGTTATACACCTGTGAAACATGGTCGTTAAAAGTAGAAGACATGAAGCGGTCACAAGGTTTTGATCACAAATGTCCTTGTAGCATTGCTGGGGCATGGTGGAATCACCGTGTAAGCAATGTTGAGGTCAGGTGTAGGGTACTAGGCAAGACAGGCAAGTCGATTGATGAGGTTGTGAACCTCAGTCGACTTAGATGACTTGCTTGAACATGTACTGCACATTTCCAGCCATCGCCTACCTCGATGTATCATGATAAAGGAAGTTGGATTAGGTTGGAGGAGAGCTCAGGGTAGCGAGATCAAGACGTGGCACCAGTCGATGTACTCTCTTACTGTTGGTCTGATCTGTTTTGGGAGATGTAGACTACCATGTTGGAGTCCTCAAGACGATAGAAATCAGTGCTTGAAAAGTCTTAGTGACATGGCTGAAAATTGGTCACACTGGCGCAGATTTATTAACTGCTTGACGTCTTCTAAAGCTTGAATATTTGCACAAATCTTTATTTTCAGATTGTTTATTTTCTTACACTACTTCCTCTACTTTGATATAACTCCTTTTCCTTCTGCTCCTTTTGTAGTATTGTGAAGTGTGGCGATCAGAGCTGATGCATCTGTGTGCGAGGTTCTATGTTGGTTTTGTCAGTCAGTATGCCACGTCTTGATATCGTAACAAGTTTGTGCTCCAAATAATAATATGATAAAATAATAAATAATCAATTTCAGAAGTCGTACCAGAATTGTGATGAATAATACAACATCCTCGAATAACGAAGAGGCTCCTGATCAAACTGACTGAAGTTCAATAAAATAATATAAGTTTTATGTTTTTACACAAGTAGTATTACTGACTAATCACGAACTTGACAATATCAGAACGCTAATGTATACGTAAATTAACGCTAAAAGAAATCAATATTTTCAAGACCATACACCTTCGATTGCCAGAAACTTACATACAGATTTAGAAACATATAAACAAGTACTTTCAAATCATGTAAGAGCACTTGATGGACGAACACCTAAAAAGTGGTTAAAAAAATACTAAATACAGCTCAGTAGTCAAGTACATGATAGACTGAGACATCGTTTGTATGGAGGTTATCGAAACTATTTGGCTACAGAAACCTCAATATGTCAGAAAGTATTGGAATTTGTGACTCAGTGTTTACAGGTCAAGTTCCTAAGAAAATGAACTTCAGCTGAAACGATAACTGTATCTACTACTTAACAGATCAGACGTTTATCACACAGAATGTGTTAGGTTTCCTAAGAAAAAACTTAGTTTAGAAAGCCAAAAACTAACGCATTACTAGTTGTTCCACAAATCAACAGCAGGAAGACTATCAAGAGTATGAAGTATGACGTAGCTCAACCTGCTTATGTATGAAACCTACACCATGCATCACAAATATACACAGCATTAACATTCGAGGAACACAAACTTGATTGTGAGTCGATAATATTAACTATACACAAGCTAGAGTTTGTCACTAGGATAAGATTTCAGAAACATTCCATTTTCTAATTGAACATATTCAGATTGAGGAAGTAGGTGAGGGTTTAGGATTAACTATGAACCACAACCAATTACAATAAAAAAGAGCACCAATGGAATAAAGGACACCAAATTTTCAAGTGAACATTACGTCATAACTGGTAGACATAATGACTACAGATCAGTTTGACTAGCAACTAGTTGATTTGATGACAAACATATAGGAAGCATATGATTCTGTAAGGTGCTAAGTAACGCCGAATCTCTGATTCATTAAAACTAAGTAGGTAAGAAGTGTGATAGATGTCAAATGTATTGTTATTATCTGTTACTATTTAAATGGCTGTAAAAAGGGTGAACCGCAAGTAATTATTTCAATCATACTGTAGCGGTGGACGCGTTGGTGGCATCTTTAGCACGAGTTACAGTTTCCAGACAACTGATTTCAGTAAAACAAACCTGCAAGCTTCATCTAGTCGACAGTCATTCTTGAATCAACCAATCGTAATGGCATTCGGTTATTATGGGTAGAATACACATCCAACAAAATCAGAGTCATTGAGACTTTTTGTCAACACTCAGTGATATGAGTACAAGTTTACGTCAAACAATTAGATATTTTTCAACTGAAATAAGAAAATTCGCAAGATGCAACTCTATTTCACATCATATATTTATTTGAAAATTTGGATATGAGAGACTGCAGTCACGGAATATATACGATTCTAACCTAGTTCAACAATTATATATATATTATATATATATATATATATATATATATATATATATATATAGGTCATAAGAATTAGAGAACATCTTTAAAATACAAAGCACTAAATGACAGGTACCGGCAAACAAGAAATAACACCATGAATAGATTAATATTATCCTAGTGTCCGAATTAATTTAATATCCTCTGAAATAAGATGCCTTATTTCCCAGTTAACTTTGAGGAAGATTAAAAACAACTCACTTGGATAAGCACAGGTGAAGAAAGTAGCATATCATTTGCAGTTGTCAAAAATTGACAGCATCAACTAATACAGCATCATGACCCCATGCGGTAATCCAGAAGCGTGAAACACCTCGCAAAAATGATGGAAGTCTGAACATTCGAGTACCACAAGTCATCAAGAGAGTTGGTAGGACAGTAACACGATAATTTTGTTTACCTTGAATCGCACTGCTTGCAACACAGGAAATGTAAAGACCGAACCACGGAGAATTAGCTTCTGATATAGGTGGGCCTAAATGTGCAGGCAATTGAGAATCCGAAACCTGTTGATCTTCATATGTTGAGGGTATTAGGCTCACGATTAAACTGTAGTTTCTGTGCAAAACCCGTATACGTGTTTCCGGTTCTAAGCTCAACAGTGAACCACCCCGAACTAGATCAACATCATGAAAGTCAGTTGATTCCAGTGCAGCCTGATCACGCAAAAAATGGATCGTCTCCCTCAAATTCAGAGCATGCTCACGATACATTCTTGCTTCACCTTCTGAGACAGGAGCTAGATAGTTTAATTCAGATAGAAAAGAATTCAATGAATCATCAGATAATTTCCCAACTTCAAACATTGTAACAGCGTGTGGCTTCAGGTTAGGTGACAAATTTCCCATCATGAGATAAGCGGTGATAGTAGAATCAAATATTAATACCAACTTTTTCTTTTGTTGAGCTGAGTCATCTACACATGACAAACAATTTAATTCTTCGACAACTGAGTTTCCGACAGAGTGTGTACATCTGGACTGGTACTAGATAAAGGGATACGAAATGATTTTATCTGATTATTCAGACGACCAACTCGTTTATATGCGAAACCCAACCGACAGAATATTGAAGCAGCTTGTTTCACTGAATTTACATCAACCTGTAAACAGTCAGCTAGCTCACTGACTGATGTGTTTTCATCAGCTGTGACGAAAATTTTGTATAACAAATTCTCTCTAATATCTCCACTAACACGATTCATGACAAAGCCTTCAAGTGTAGGGACACATATCTTATCACCACCGCAGACTGGAATATCAATGTACACTAAACCACGAAGATAAAGTTTTCTGAGGATATCTTGATCAAGATCCTTGACTAAAATTCCAGAACTGTTTTGACTAATTTCCTCCAATTCACCTACCTTTTCAGAATCTATAAGTTGATCAATCATAATGCGCTCCGAATCCGTAGACGTTTGGATATCAGACAACATAACAGATCCTATGCGAACTACATGCCATGGCTCAAATAAAACTTTATCAACAGGATGTGACGGGAGAATATCACATAGAAGTCCTTGGAGTTCATTTTCATCAGGACCTATGGATGATAAGAAGCTTTTGTAAGTGTTGATTAGATCAATATATTGATTTCTTCCTATTCCAAGCAAACGCAAGCAATCTGCTGCAGTGAAATTCGGAAGGCAGTCATACGATTTTTCTGTTGCAATGAGATCAATTATCATACGACGATAATAAATGAACGGAGTGACCTGCAAACCACGAACAATTTTGTCCTGAAGATGGTAAGGATAGAGGAGATAATGCTGTCTTCCATAGTCAATTAGTCTTTCATAGTATTTTTTCTCACGTTTTAGGACCTTAATTTGAGATTACATAAATATTCGACATACCAAGTGAACAAGATTTCCTGTATAGCGTAGTTGATTTCGAAAACTGTGCAACAATATTTGTTCTTCATACTTTTTGGGATCATCATTTAACTCAGCACGCACTTGTGGAGACAAATCAAACCAAGACAAGTTAGCTTCAATGCTTTTCCACAAGTCCATCAGGGATTATTCAGGTCATATAAAAATGACATGAAACTGATAACCAAAAATATCTATTCATAAATTGTGCTAAAATTCATTTAACATAACCTGAAATTGAAAATAAATACCGAAAACCTAAGTAAATATTGACATTGAGCAGGTGAACAACTAACAGAAACAAATAATGAGGCAGAGTTACATGATTTTCGAATTCATTAAAAATGCTTACGAGTATATGACGGCAAAATACTTTAAATTATTCAAATTAGTATTGAAGCATATCTCAACACGTGAGTATTGCTTTAAACGGATTAATAACTACAACGTAATTAAAAGTAATTGATTTAAAAATTAAAATACCATAAAATAACTCAGTCCAATGAGAAATATCGCACTGCTGGTTCCAGGGGATATAAAGGCAGTAAGGTGCTTCTGAACGTAACTAGCATTTCCAGGTGATACCGCCTTTCTCTTGTCAGACATAGGTTAGTAACGTCAACCCCAAAAACGACACATTTCTCTCCAGAGAGAGGCATCCATAAAACTCAACTTATCGGTAGACACATATAGACTACATTAATATCAGTCACCTAGAAAGGGTCGGTGGAAGACTGCCGACTTTTACGGAGTGTATGCTTGGACAGTGACCATGAGTTGGTTCCAGCGCCTGTATGTTTGCATCTAAATGGAAGCAACAAGACTATTGTGAGTGCAGCTCGACACTGAGAGTACTAAAGTTGCTTTTAACCAGGAATTGGTTAGACAGTTATCGGAACAGAATAACAGCACTCATCCAAAAAAGTTTAGCGTCATCTCCAGTTTGATGAAAAAGTAGCGTTGAAGAACATAGCCCACTCTCAGAGACTGATCAAAAACAGCTTCATCTGAACTAATGGATGAGAACGTATCCACTGCGGTTTGCACGACGCGGGAAACCAGTGGTTGGAATCCATATCTGTTTATCTTAATTGGCATGCTAGATTTCGTTATTGTGTCCCTTTCTTCTCTTAATACTGCTACTATTTTTACGAACTTTTAGCATGCTTGACCACTTTCTTTCTCATCTCTCTATCTTTCATCTTAGTGCCTCCTACCTTGATGTGCTGAGTGAGATGTGGCAATTTGAACCGCTAGGTAGTGGTACCAAGTCCTATGCTGATGCTAAGGGATTATTTGAGTAGGTATGGCAAACTAAGTGTTCCATCATCCTAGGTTGAGACCGTTGATCCCAACTTCAAAAAAGCGTGTGTAATATATTTTTCGACTCGTTTATCGATCTGCTACAAGTTGCATTATGAGTCTTGGCCGCTGTCCTTCTCAGGCTTTGCGAAATTCACAAGTTGATTCCCGAGAAGCAGATCAGGTTTCATCCGGATAATGGATCCATAGGTCACTTGTTACTTTTGGCTAGATGCGCAAGAACTATTATAAGTATTATACGCCAACAATTCGTACTCTATTAAGACTGCCTTCGAAAAGTCGGACAGCTGTCTTTTCAGATTGTCTGCTAGACAGATTTCTCCATGGAAAGTCTTAAAAGCACCACATTTCAAGTAGAGTGAGGGTGTACAGCCACCTTTTTATTTTTTCAAACCAGCATTCACGTTAGTCAGAGCTGTTCACACTAATTTCTGCTCAATGCGTTTAAAAGACTGTTTTGTCAGCTTTCAAGTCAACCAGGTTACTCTACGATGAGTAGGCCAATCTATGAGAGGTTGAATTTACTTAGGATTATATAAACCAGCCAATCCACAAGAAAGTTAAAAAGCAATGGTGGTAGTTATCATCCTTGACGGGCTCCACGGATTGTCGTTACTTTACATGGGAACTCATCGCAAGCTGTTACATGGCTGCGTGATTTTGTGTACAGACGTTTGATTAGTATAATATGCCTGTTTGGCAATTCATTCACGTTCAGATACTACTACACTACTCCCGATCGACAGTCAAATGCTGCCTTCAAGTTAGATAATATGATGTGTCGAGAACCACTAAGCATGCCGAAGTTTCAGAAACTGTCAAAAAGTGAAGAAATGATCGGTAAAAGCTGGTCCTAGTCTGAAAACTGATTGGTTTCCCCAGTTAGGCTTCGAGTAACTATGGCACCTAGCATTTTAGATATGATATCAGTCCAGCTGGTTCTCTTGGAATTGTCACGTGAAGACCTCTTCTTTCTTACAAACTGGAATAATCAGCGATTTATGCAAGTCTGGCGGGACTAATTGATTTCCATACACGTCCTAGGAACTCATTTCATTATCATCATCGATGTCAACATGAGACTGAGCATTACTGAGTAATGGTCAAAGTTGCCGCACTTCATACCAATACATCAAGTAACAAAGCAGTAAGGTGAAAGATAATGAAATAAAGAACGGTCAAAAGTCGGATTCAACTTTTTTAAATCCAGTCGGAAAACTCATGCACCAAACTCGGAGGATTGCAGAACAAGAGTGTGTGCTACTTTGGTGGCCAACCTTTTCTGACCCGTCTCCTCTCATAGGAAAGGCAGCTTCAACGTGTACTGCCGGTCACCCAAGGGGAACAGCTAGGTGCTGTCATAACCCGTCCTGTTGACCCGCAAAATGGTGTAGTTATTTACACAATCACTGCAAATGCTATTATCCAACAAACCTTTTTAGTACGGTAAGATGTAAGGAAACAGATTTCCCACCATCATGGCTCGTTGATTCATTGTGATGTAGCACTATGTAGAGATCGAAGCTATCGTTCGGTATTTGGTTACTCCTTTGACTAAAACCTTGTCACTATTTTTACAATAACCCAAAGATAAATGCAGATCACACTGCGAAACGTCAAGAAATGGACGATATTTTCCTGTTATAATCACAGGGGAATCAATGACTAATTTAACGTCTAAAATCCTAGGACCACGGTCATCTGACAAAGAACTGAAAAATTGAGAAACCTATCCAGATTTCTGATTCGGATAAGAGTACACTGATCTGATTTTTACTTTCGACAAGTTTCGGTACACTTTTCCTATTTTTTTTGACATGACGGCGTATCCAACTCCACTGATCAGGTGTTGAGGCAATTTCTGACTGAAAGAAGTACTGAGAAAGTACATTAAGCATGTTAAGGTTCTCTACTTTAAATCACAGTCATATCGCATGTTTACAGTGATCATCTAGCGTGACGACAGCCAGTGAGATGCCAAGCGTCAACCATAACCATCCTCCTGGATGTATCAGAGGGTACCTACTAAACTCTGACTTTCAACAAGTTAATTTACTGCAAGCAGGTCATCTGGTTGTTTTAGAGTGCACATGCTATATGGTCCAGCCAGACGAAGACACTGATAAGCCTAAATGCAACAAGAAAGATGTGGGTATATTTAACATGCGGTTTACACTTATCGAATGTAACATCATGCTCTGGGACACGTTCGCAATGACTCTTAGTTTAAGGAAAAGGTGTAAAATGATGGAACGCGATGAATACTTTGCAAATCAGAAGATAAGTATACTGTGTATACTGCGTATACGTGTGACTGGAAAACAGCCACTGGAAATAGGAAATATGAGGTTACACGATTTTGATCACAGATATTTCCGTAGCATTGCTTGTGGTGTGAGTAATGTCAAGACTTTGTGCGGAGTTCTGGATAAGAAACAAAAGTCAGTCGACGAGGTCGTAAAATTCATCGACTGAGGTGGAGTGAGCATGTTGTGAATCCCAGGTCATCATCTTTTCCAACATGAAACGAAAACCAAAGTATGAATAAGCTGAAAGAAAACTAAGGAATACCAGATTACGATATGGTACCGGTTCATGAAGTCTCTGACTGCTGCTTTGAACCATAGATGGGAATGTAGACGGTTACGGTTTATGAGATGTTAGGAACCAGTGGCTGGAAACTGCCACTGAATTAGATTCAGACTGACCACGATGGAACAAACGTATTCAAACTTTGTCCTTCCCGAAATTTAGAGCATTTTCATCAAACTTTATTTGTTTATTCTCTTTCACACATTTTCATCTGCTCTAATATCCTTCTTTTCAATTCAAACAGGCTACTGAGAATAAAAACTTATACACTCCTATGCAAGGAGCTAAATTGATTAGTCTGTCTGATAAATTCTATCAATAAGCAGTAATGACAGATAGTGTGTTGATGATCTCTGTTTACACACGATTTAAAAAATCTCAGTACGACCCAACTTTTATAATTCTGCGGATTTAAAATAATTGTTGCTTAAGGAAAGTATAATGGTAGTAGATACAATATCGTTAAGTTAATGAGAGGTAACAATTTTACGTTGCTGATTGCAAAATTAAATTTAGTTAGGAGACGAATATATGCTCATCGCTGGTATCAAAAATGTGAATCGTATTTTCTGCTAAATAGGTGAGTTATTAGATGCAGGCGAGTTGGAAGAATTTTATCATCAAATTTACATCTCTATATACAAATAATTATCGATAATAAGCAAAAAATAATGAACAAAGATTATTCGTGTGCACATTAAGTGAAACCCAATGTGTATATTTATAAGCTAATTGCTAAAGATGTATATAATTACTTCATTAAGTGTGACACTGGCATCCTCCTGAGAAATCTTTTTAGTAACTTTTAGACGCTATTTACAATCTATACAACCACAATTATTGACGAAATGAGAGCGAACATGGACAAACGCATTTGGAATTTGCAGAATCACAGAATATTTCAGGTTTGTGTGATCCAGATAGATCCATATATTCTAAGCCTCTATGAGATCATATTTTAGACCTGTACTTCAAGAGGATATAGATTGGGTGCTACCATGTTTTCCTTGTACGTTTCGAATCTCAGTCATCAAGTGACTTAACGGACCATCTATGAATTCATTTTACATTATCGCTATCGTTTACCAGGCTGGAAGAAGCTCTAAGGTCGTAAAAAACCGTTGGTGGTGAAAAAAACTGCGGCCCTACCAACCAAAAACTCGTTGCAGAGTTACTAGAACAAGATTAGTACAAAGTACGCTATCCTCATAGCATAAAACTTAACA